GTCCCACGGGTGTTGTTCGTGTTTGCCACGACCTATGGCGCAACATGCTGTGACACGGTCGCAGGAGCCACGTAACGCAAAATAAAACACACACAGGGACTTGTCTCGTATTGCTTACGAAGGGGTCAGAACCCCTGTCGTCATGTTGTTGTCATTAACGTGCTCTTTGACACCCTTGCGCGTTCACGTACATATCTTGTGAGTGGCCTTTTCATGATGGTTTGATGGGTTTTCGAAGGTTGTTTCCGTTCCATGTCCATTCGATGTATGTGGTTTATGGCGTGCATATGTCTCACCATGTGAATTGCCCTTCATGTGGCAGGTCCCCTCTTTCTCGGAGAATGGATGGTACACTGATCTCTTGGAAGGGGACTCGAAATGGCTGGATGCGTTCCCAGCCCCAGCCCTCCGTACGCTGATTCCCCACGTTGATTCCTACCGGTTCCTAGCGTCGCTTACGGAGAACGAGATGAAGAAGTGCAACGAGATGGCACTCATGGAGAACATTGATTTAGTTAAGGGCAACTACCCGCTCACTCCGGATACGATGAAGCTTCCAATCATTGGCGACTTCGACCGCACCAAGTGTACTATGTCTCCTTCTGCTTTAGCGGTTAGGGGTTTCATGACGCCGAAACAGCAGACGGCTATGGCTGAGCTGAAACGCATCTGGAATGTAGGCCGCCCGTACCTCAAATGTCAGTGTGTCACGGAGGGGAAGGGTGATTGTGGGAAGAACATATCGTGGCTGGATCACGTCCTGTGGTATCTCTTGTCTGACCTACACTATCTCTTCCCGGAAGCCCCGTCGCTTAGAGCTAGAGCACGCGCATTCAGAGTCAGGGCGAAGACCACGTGGCGGGCTGCCATCCTTGCCTCCGTTGTGTTCACGCATATGAGGGATGTGATGGTGAAGATGGCTTACAACGTTGCCATCGACCCAAGCAGGACCGCGGCGAACACTCTGGATGACCTTGCCATCATGTTGCACAAGTTTCCGAGAACCATGGCCAAGCTCATCCTTCCGACTCGCTATGTGAGGGCGAAGGAGAAGAGGAGGGTTGAGGCTGCGTCATCTTCGGCGACAAAGACGATAAGGAAGCCGCAGCAGACCATCCTGGAGTTCTGTGTCCCCCCTGCACGAGGAGACGTCACTGCACCAGCTCAGGAGAACCCTCTCCAGTTGGAGACTGCCACTCCACCTTCGTCCACATCACGACCCAGGATGACGCCCAGGCTTCCATTTTGAGTAGGCCACTGAGAAGGAGCCCAAGGGGACTGGGCCTGGCCAAGATCTCGCTGTTTAAAGGCTGACGATGTGGTATGCATGATTGTGTCTTTCTGTGTGCAGGATGATTGTGTGTTGGGAGGGACCATGGCTCGTGACCTCTCTGGTCGCAATGTCTGGCAGAAAGTGCCCTCGCAGGACAAGAGTTTCTTTGTACACATCTTGTATACAAGCAAGATTATGGAGCATGCGCGCTTCAGAGCTATCCTTGAACGTGCTGTTGACCAGTTTTTTCCTCCGGCAGCCAAGGGGCTTCTTGCGGTGGTCATGATTGCATGGACATATTTGAAATCTTTGGAATCCATTGTGTACAGGCCTGCTTTTGTATTTCGTGATTTCATGTTGGAAGAATGGCTGCATTTTTGCAAGGGTTTTGATTCATGCCTGTGCCTCACGAAGCGCTTCTTGCCCTTCCACCACCCATGCACTATGGAAATGGCTCAACCCTTTTCTTCCCCCTCCACGGACATTCTCTCCCTTGACCCGTGTATCTCCTCGCATCTTGAGTTGACGCACCTCCTCTCCCAAGGTTTGAAACACATCCCAATGCATCCTCTCGACCCGCATGCGGCCCTCCGTGAGTTTTTGAAAGCTTGGCACTCTGTGGTGGCTTTCTTTTGCAACCGAATGCATGTCACCAGGGCTATGCAAAACAGAGCGTCCGCTTTTGTTTCAGCACAGCTTAAGGACCAGCTGGGATTGCCTACACTGGTAAGGCACCATGACCCCCTGTATGTCACTAACACTCATGCGATCGAACACGAGGTGGAATTCCTCTCGAAACGAGTGTACATTGCAGGGACGGACAAGTCGGCGAATACTCCATCCTTTGCATGTGTTCATCTTGTGAGGAGGCTTGCGCTCGAAAGACTGAAGAGTAGGGATTTTGTGTCCTCGCACTTGTCCGAAGGAGATATCATTGAGGAAGCGGAGGCATCCCTCGCTTCTCTCCTTCCTTCGGTAACCATTGGCCCCAAGAAAGTCCCCTACCTTATGGCACTGTACAAGCACCACAAGCTAACGTTCCGTTGGCTTACGAATGCCTCTTTCTCCTTCCTTACCCCCGTGGCCCGCCTATGCGACGCTGTCTTGAAATGTCTCACCCCCCTTGTGATGACCCGTTGCAAGGAGATCACTGATGGGTTGAGGAGGTTCCATGGGGTCCGTACCTCTATATGGTAGGCCATAGACTCTGTCCAGGATTATTGTTATAACCTCCCCGAGAAGTTTTTTTCGGTGTTCTCAGCAGACATAACTCGATGTTTTGAAACGATCCCGATAGACTCATCTGAGGATAGTCTGTCTGCAGCGGTGGTATTCTTTGTGAAACTCGCGTTCAAATCTGCATCCTCCAAGAACCTTGGTCAATTCGTCAAATGCAAGGGATGTCGTGATGGGTCTTTTACCTGCTCTGTGCACAAGGGGAGATCGGGTTCCTTGCCTTCCTCAGTGTTTTGGTTGGACTGTGGTGAAGTAATTACTCTGACCAACTGGTTGATAGCTTGTTGTTTTACGTCCTTTGGCGGGAAATTTTGGAGGCAGACAGTTGGGATCCCTATGGGCCTCCCCTGCTCCCCTGTATGGTGCACTGTCTATTTCTTCAAGTATGAATACGGTTTGATTATGAGGCTGGTAGATAGGAAGGCGTACGACTTCCTCCCTCTCTTTGAGCACACGTTCAGATACATTGATGATCTACACGCCCTCAACAACCCTCTGATCCTGAAATTCCTAAACGGCCCCTCAGATGGTGGCGATGATGGGATCTTCTCCCTTTACCCATGTCACCTTATCGAGATTAGGAATCAAACTGAGGTTTTTGAACTGTCCATCACAAGGGAAATCTATGGGCTTCAGTCTCAATTTTTGAATGTCGAGATTGCGGTCACATCGGAATCCGCGGGAACTTTTTACACCACCAAGTTTGATAAAAGACTGTCCTTGAATTTCCCGGTGGTGAGATATGTCAAGTATGCCTTCAATAGACCGATCCAACAATCATTGAATATCATTCTTGCACAGGTCGCGACTGTCCTGGTCCTGTGTACCCGCCCCGAGGACGCTGCCAAGGAAATCCTAAGGATTGTTACCTTTATGATGGATAATGGGTTCTCGCTTTGTGGATGCATAACTTGTGTGAACCGTGTCCTTAACTCCCCCAAAGATTTTCTTCTCCCCAGGGTGGAGGTCGAGGCGAGGAGGAGGGAATTTCTGGTGAGTGTCGTTTACCGCTATTCGCACCGCCCCTCCCCCTATCTTGTCTTTGACGTGTGATGTGATGCGTGAGAGGGTGTGTTCTTGGCTAGCCTCTACCAGTAAGGCTGCTAAAGTGGTCAGTGGGTACCTTACCTAAGGCAGGTACCTACTACCTGCCTTAGCAAGCTGCCCCTGACGGGGAAGGGGAGGGCCACACACACACACACACACACACACACACATATATATGAACACGCTTGTACATACCCCTTGCATATTTGTGGATTGCCTCCCTAAAAAAGCTTAAAAAGCTTTTTTAGCCAGGGTTCCTCGGGTCCCAGGAGAACTCGTTTTGAACCCTTCGGTGGAACGTAGGTTGGCTCCCTGCGAGAACCGGTAGGCCTTCAACCCCCTAATCGTTGCCCCATCCGTGGCCAGCCGGTGCCCCTACCTCCAGCACCTTGCGAATGAAGTGAGGCTCGGCCCCGTTTCTTCCGGGTATTTAACCGCTCCGATCCTCTCATTCCTCCTCTCATCACTGACCCGTCGGACGATGCGCTGTGTGGCCTCGCGTACCCAACCCGGTTGGTGTCACTTTGAGCACCGACGGTATGGTACGGTGATGCCACTCATCGCTTCCCCGGCCATGACCTCCTGGTCCTAGTTCAGTGATGCCGCTCTCTACTCGGAGTGGTCTGTGATCGCCATCACTATTTTGATTGAGCTCGCACTCTTGCGTCTCGAAGGAGGTCCATTATCGCGTACACGCGTTCCATATCCAGTTGCGCGCTGCTTCGACATATCAGCGCTTCAGGAGCTGCTTCATGGTATTCAGTTTGGGACACGGTTGAAAGTCCCTGTTGGGTTACTTACCTAATCGGGCGCCACCGGGAGTAGAGGAGCGTCGGTGCCAGGAGTGTAGCGTGGGAGTGACTTGATTGGTCGTCGGCGCACCATGGCCCCGGGCACGGTAATGCTTCGTGCACTCGATTGTCCCTCCCCCCTCCCCCCACTCTCCTCCCCCCTCTCCCCTCCCTCCGCTGTTGTGCCACCCTGTGTGCCCCGTTTATGACTCATAACAGATCTCTTTGTCTTATTGGAACCCGGGCCATGCCCGATCAGGGTTCTTGTCCCTTTTGGTTTGATATGAGAGAGGTTTAGTTCTCTGAAGATCCGACGGGATGGAAGTCGGTGAAAAGTACTTGAGAGCGCGTTCCATCACCCTCTCTACATTCAACGGTGCATCAGGGCCGCTCGACCGAATTGGGACCTTCTCTCTCTTCCTTCCCCTTCCCGAATGTACTCCCCCACCCCCATGTTTTGTCYTGGTGTGCCTACCTGATGCTACTCACTCTGTTTTTCTCAACTTTTTCGTGTYGTTTGTGTTTGCGTATGCTTGCCGTGAGTGTTGTCGGATGATGTGTGGTCCKAGGCTCTTCTATACGCATCGCCACYGAGATTCGACTAGGAGYTTCGATTYGGAATGGAGTTACTGATAGCCRCTCACTTGGCGTTCGTCTTYGTTCTAGCCTTTATGGCTTATTTAGCGTTCCTGACGTTTCTCGATCTCCAGTTCATTCGTTCGTTTCAAGCTAGTGAATGCTCTCGTAACTCGTCGGTTGTTCCTCTTCCCTCGAGATGGTGTAGGGCATGAGGGTCCGGGTTGGTGTTTCTGGACTGGYTGTGGGT